GGAAAAAACCCCACGAGTGGGTTCAAAGCAAGAGCCAGAGACTGTTCTCCGTATGCAGGTCCCTGCTCCGAGCCCCCCCCTCGGCACACAGCGGGGTCTCCGGCAGTGCTCCTGCGGGGAGGACACGGCCCCGTCTGCAACGACGCTGCTAAAAATCGGACAGGGAGCTTCAACGGTGAGAAATGGAAAGCAGCCAGGGCGGCAAGCCCAGAACCGCTGGCTAAATGCCTCCCATCAACGAGGCTGCCTCCAGGCACCTTGCTACCAGCCTCCCCGGAGACCTCCCCGCCTGCCGGGCTCAGACGGGTGCCAGCAGCCCGGGCAGGCGAGTGCTGAGCAGGGAAGAGTCCCAGCAGCCGGGACAGCAGCACAGCAGGGCAGTTTCTGGTGGAAGGGCCAGGTCCTCTCACCGCTGCCCCACACCCTGGGGCAGGAAGGCTTTTACCTGCCAAAGCGATGGGCTGAACCCAGCCCGGAGTCACACCCGCTCAGGGGCGACGGCCAGGCCCTGGGCAGCACGGCCAGGACGAGGTGCCCGACAGCAGCAGGAGGGTGGGTGCTCTCCGACGGCCGTTCACCGGGGCAGGGCCCCCCCTCACTCTAACTACAGGCAGAGCTGTTATCTCACCGGCGCAGCCCCTCTCTGCTTCCTCCTCCTACAGCCACATCCCCATTTCTTCCTCTGGACTGACCATTTTCCGTTTGGTACAGAGGAAGGCATGGCACTCCAGGTTCTCATTGAGCTGGTTCTGGGCAATGTAGGCAAACACTTTATCGTGGATCTTGTCTGCCGTGCAGTAGGATATCCTGAAAGACAGAAGGAAACGTCTTGTCCGGGGCACTGCACGCAAGGGAGATCAACCAACCCCTCCTCTGACCTGCCAGCCAGCGCCTTCCCCGGGGCTTCCAGCTCCGGGGCCAAGCAGGGCAGGCAGAAGGAGCGCGGGAGCACTGCCAGGCTTCAGTGCAACTCCAAAGAGGAGTCGTCGATGCCACTGGCTGGAGCAGAAGAGAAACCCGCAGCAACTCCCGCAGCCATGGCGTGAACCACGGCATCACACACAGAGGCCGGAGAGCACAGAAAACGTTCCACCTTGTGGGAAAGGACAGGTTAGAGAAGGTACAGACGCTGCGGTGTGCCAGCCTGGGACTACACCTGACAAACGCTCTGCCTTCAGAAGAGAGACTCCCAAAGATTTTCCTTGGAGGGTAAGCTTGCAAGGAGAGAGAAGGACTTGCCCTCAGCCTATGATTTAATCTTGAGGCTCAAACCAGGGAAAGAAGTTGATGCAGGGGTGCCCAAGAAAAGCTGTTGGAAAGGCTGAAGTTCAGGCTCCAAGATGCGCAGTAGCAGCCGCACGGGATGCTCCGAGACCCCTGAGCTCAGCGGATGTGGGGCCGGAGGCTCAGCCTCCTCGGTGGAGCATCCCCAGGGTGGCCGTGTCTGTCCCAGCCCCCCGGCAGGGCAGGGCAGACTCCGAAATGTGAACAAGGCTCCGGAAGAGCAGCAGCCTGACCGGGCTGGGGAGCCCAGGCTGCGACTGAGGGCTCGGCTCCCCGCTGCAGGGCGGCTCAGCATCAGCCACCGCCATCTCCCATGGGTCCATCCACGCCAGGAGCTGCAGGACTGAGCATCTCGTCTGAAGCCAGCGAGCATCGGCCAGGGCAGCCCCAGAGGTTTAGTGCAAGGTGGCAGGTGCTAGCAGCGAGGAAAGCCTTTTGCCTGGGCACGCGACAGATCAAGCAGGTGTTAAGGAAAGAGAAAATCTGAGGAAAAACTGGGACACTTCAGTGAAAGTTTTCCCGTGGCTCCATATCGCCCCTTCAGCTCCTGCTCTCGCTGCCCCCGAGATTTTGCAGTGAGATGACTGGAAGGTCGCAGTTCCCAGCAGATGCTGGGACTTCAAAAAAGCCACATTCAAAATTTATTTACACGGCATTAGTTTCTTGTTGCATGTGAGAATGCCTCTGCTCAGTGGCCTGTGTTTCGTTTTCCAGAGCTGAGCTGTGCTCTGGATTAAAGAAGCACTTGGAAGCTCACTCCTTCCTCCCATTTTTCCCAGACAGCGTGGCCACTCTTGTAATTATTGTGACAAAGCCACGGAAGGTCGTCTACGCGGGTGCGTGGCCCTTCCAGCAACCCCCAGCACTCCGCTCGATATTTGATGGCCATTAATTTCCAAGGAAAGGATAACTCACACCTGCCTCTGAAGTGAGCCCGTTTTATGACCGAGGCCTCCGGCAGTGGCACGTCCAGCAACGGTGGCTGCGTTTTAGCTGCGGCCGCCCCGTCCTGCCCAAACACCCGATCCGGGGCGAGAGCTCAGAGCTGGCATCTCCCCGGTCAGTAGAAAAGCCAAAGAGAAGAAGCAGAGGTGTTAAGAGGAAAGCCCTGGGTCTGCCACCGGTGCACCACGCTCGCAGAGCAGGGAGATGACCCCCCCCACGCACACAGACCCCAGCTTTCGCCGGGACCCCGGCTCCCACAGCGCCAGCAGCTCCGGGGAGCAGCATCAGTCCCCACGTCAAGACCCTACTTAGGATGCGCTGCCTTCAGTCAGCTGCACCGAGGGGATGCTCCGACACGAGCACTGACCGGCAGCAACACTTTCTCGCCGGCTGTTAAAGCGTCCGGGCAATATTTAAGGCAGCATCTAAAAACCCCGGCCCCGCAGATCTGCCTGCTTTCACACCAGCGCAGTGATCTCGATTTTGGCATGACCGCGTTCGTGGCCGCTTCGCCCAGCTCTGCTCTTGAGCAGCCGGTTTATCTCCCGGGGAGGGCTGGGGCTCAGCACCGGTGGCTGTACGCGGCGGCTTGGTTTGAACTGGAGAAAAGCAGGTGGGTTAGTAGTCGGGTTAGAGAGCGTGCTCCCCCCCCTCAGCGCTCCCCATCCCTCGATCAGCAAAGGGGGACAGAGCAGCAGGTGCAGAGCAGAAGCAGCGTGCGGGGGATGTAGAAGGAGAAGGGACAGAACCAGATCTGAGGTAAGCTCTGCTCCGCCAGACCTGCGCCTGCCTCCGGCCTCGTTGGAAGAAATACTTGCCAAAGCCCGAGGAGCGGATATGAGATAATCCATCCTCACCCTCCCCACAATGGTACTGGGTCTAAACAGCTTTCTCAGAGCTATTTAATGTATCAGAGGTGCAGAGCAGCCAGCGAGGGGAGGGCAGCCCTGGCTCTGGCGTCCTCGCCCGCTCGGAGATGCTCCAGCTCCTCCGTGTCCGACTCTTGCCGCCACCCCAGGCGCTCTGGCGTTTCTATTGCCAGGAACAGGCGGCGCAGCCACATGCGGCCATGGAGTGCTTGGCTGCGGGTCTGCAGTCTGCACACGCGACACCTCCAGGCTCATCACGTCTTTCCTTACCCCCAGTTGGACACTTCATCCACCAGACAGAAATTTAGCTTAAATTTAGCAACCATCCTTCTTCCCCGGCCTTTGCTTTCCACCCAGACACGATGGCCAGCGAGACGTTGGCTCAGCCCAGGCGGAGGCCGGCGCAGCCTCAGAGCACGCACCCACCGCAGCGCATGCCGTAACCCACCTGTATATGGAGACGTTCTCGATCAGCTCGTTCGTCCCGCTGTCGTTTAACACGATCCCTCTGGGCGAGACTTTCAGAGTCACTTTCTGCAGTTTCTTTCCACTTGCTTTTGCCTTTGGAAGGAACAGAGGGAGAGGAAAGTTACAGCCTTTTAACCCCAATACCTCCAAAGGTACAGGAGCAGAGCAGAGACTCCAGGTACACACTACCCAATAGGCATAGTAATAGCACTCGTTAGTACTACAGACTGAATTTCCTACCAGGTGTGATAAGGCATTCGTTAAAACTTTTCCTTCCCTGAAGCACTGATTTTTGCTGGCATTAATGAGACAAGGACACGCACCCTCCACCCCACACCGCAGGGAGGTTCTTCCAGCCCAGCACCTCCAGGAGGATTTCCCTGCGGCCACCAGCAGCGGCTGGGCTGGCCGAGTCGTGGTGAAACCCTGGGGAGTTCTGTCCTTCGGGCCAGCTCTGGAGCAGAGTGGGACAGCAGCACGAACACGGGAGAAGGACGGTCCTGCAGGACGCGGGCTCCCAAGCAGCCACCTTCGAGCTCTGCTGCCAAACCCTGCTCGAGTTTCAAAGCACCCCCCACACCAAGGTCAGGACGCCGGCTTAAAAACCAACCGGACTTTAAGAACCACCTTCTCTTATTCACTAGTCTCGTGCTTTTAGCCTCCAGGTTACATTCAGCTCACTGCCCAGCTTCTCTCAAAAAAAAAAAAGCCCCCAAAAACCCACAGCTAGCTGCAGATTGCACACCCGAATCCTCATCCCTGCTCCCTGGGGACCTCACTTGAGCCGCATCCACATATCGGTCCTGCCCCTCCGAGGCCGGCCTTGGCCCCGGGGCTTTGCTTTTATTTAAAGGCTCCGTTACAGAGCAGACGTGGAGGGCTCTGCCAGCAGCTCCGGCTTCATGCGAGCGCTCCCCTCCCGTCCAGCTCAGCACATGCCAGGAAAGGATCCGTCATTACCCAGCGCCGTTCACCACTCCATTGAGTTTTATGACGGTTAACTGTACAACTGGGTCTTTGCCTCATTCAGTTTTATAAGGGCTTAAAGAAGCGTTAATTTTACTTGGAGCCTGGTGAGCAGGGGCTCTGGGGGGGCTTGGTGCGAGAGCATGGCTGAAAATCGGTCCCTCTTGCATCAGAGGTTACAGCGGGACGATGGCTGTGTTGGCTGGGAACGGGAGCAAGCTGTCCTGCCCCCTTCTCCACCCTCCAAACCCCACGAAGGAAAACCCAGAACAGCACGCCAGCTCTTGGTCACACGCAGGCCACACTCGAAACATTCTCCCTGCCTTGCCAGAGGAGAGATGGCCCTGGGGAAGGCTGATTTCACCAGGTCAGAGGCTTCTCCCACACCCAAGGTCACCCAGGCTTATCAAGGGGAGCCAGAGCTCAGAGACGTAACGCCAGCTTTCCGCAGCCTGCCCCATCCACGGGCCGGGGCTGGTCCCAAGGGCTTCCCAGTGCCGCTGTCTGCATTCCCACCTCGGCCACCAGACGCCCGCTCGCCCCTGGACCTGCAGGCCCGACACCCTCCGGCACGGACACTCACGGTGGCGACGATCCTTTTGACGGCGGCCGCGGAGAGCTCCTCTCCCTTGGGCTGCTCCACCAGCGTCATGCCCATGTACTTGAGGCTGAAGAGCATCCCCTCCAGCAGCGTCTCGCGGGGGTCGGTCCAGTTCTCCGGGAGCTCTAGAGAGACAACAGAGGCTCTGGGATTCCCAAACGCACAAGGGCACCCCTTGTCCAGCCCCAAGGGGAGGTTTAGGCACGAGCAGGGTGTCGGTTTAGCTGCTGCCCGCACTCCCGTGTCTGAGCAGCTGGGAGCCGCGGTGCTTGTGAGGGGAAGGAGATGGGGCAGAGACATGAACAACCACCCGAAAGTT